CTAGGCATGACGGGAAGAGTCGAATGGGTTTTCCGATTGGCTGTTATGATGGTGGCGAACGCCATCTAACGACAACTATAGTAAACTAGCCAAATCATAGTTCGTAATCAAAGCTAAGAGATTACTCGTTCAACAGAAGTGAACACTCCGTTGTTAACCAAAAAAACAATTACTATGAAGAAGCACTGGTAGCTAACGATACAAAGCGTGTATACATTGTGACCATGACCTCGTGTAGCAGAAGGATTAATGAATAACAACAACAACCGGGGCGGATCCAGGATTTTAGGAAGGAGGAAGTGCAACCTTTGTAAAAAGGGATAATATTTTGGGGGCAAAGCCCACAAAAAAACTATTTTTTAAATTCATTAATTTCACATATATATCGGTTTTCGGTTCATAAGTTATTAATGTGAGCTTTTGGTGTAGCTGATTGAACTGCGTGCATTTGTCAATATAATAATGTAACTCATCCAGTGTAACTTATATATGTAACTTATACAGGCGACCGTACAGTGGCGCCATGCTGCATGGCGCCGCCACTGTATTGCTAACGGCATTTTTAAAACGGCAGCGGTTAGTTTTGGATTTGAGCATGGTATGGCCCGACACAGCTGGCCCCGACCAATATATATACTCTAAGAAAAACGAGGGCTTGATCGGTTCCGACTGAGTGAAATACTTGTCAGATACAGGCCGAGCGGCAAAACATACCGTTTTTTAATAAAAGGCAACTTTTGCAAAAAGGGCACTCTGCGTGGGAAGGGAAGGGGGTGTGCACCTCTCCCCTGGATCCGCCCCTGAACAACAACAACAAGAGACTTTCGTGGTAAATAACTGCAGTGCACCCTCTCAATAGATATCTGTTATATAAATACGAATATATATATATATATATTGATTGATTGATTGATCAATGGTTCTCTTTATCTTATCCGCAGCATCCCGCCATTTCATTTTCATGGATTAACTTTCTGAAATTAACTTTATATTGCGGAGTGGCTGACTTGAAGACTGTACAGTCAATTCGCCCTCCCTCGCTGTGTTTATTTAAAAATCGTTGTGACATTTATGTAACCATGTAATATTTGAAAGCATAAATAAATTTCAAAATCTAAAATCTAAAAAAAATGTAATCCGCACAATGCTTCTCCTATACGAATGTACATAGGAATGGCGCTCGCTGATCGCCGTTGCAAGCATAGATCATTTTCTTCGGCCGATATCATAAACGCTTAAAATGGGCAGGGGTATGCCCGAGGAAAATGTGTATATGATAAGATCCGATCTAAAAGTTTTCCCTTCTGCCGCAGCAGCCCGGCCACCATACCCGTTCCCTTATGCTAATGTACATGGGTAAATTCGCACTCGTCGCTTGTCATCGCTGTAGTTGTTGTAGTTGTTGTAGTTGTTGTAGTGATCATAGCTGTTGTACTTGTTGTAGTAGTAGCGGTTAGTTAGCGTGCGAGTGAGTGCATCACGCGGCAGTCCGTAGCAGCCGACGTTTTTATCGTGGTGTACCGCTAGAGGGCGCCTCTAATCTGAGCAAGACGCAAATTCTCGTCATTGTAAAGCAACTTATAGAAACACTCTATTGTTAACATAAATTATGTTCGCGCTGCAGGCTGCACTGACATCCAGTGTGGCGTGTAAGTGGTTGGCCGTGGAGATCATAAATATATATTATATACATATACATCCGGGGTTGATAATGACAAATAATTGTCATATTTGTCATTATTAACCCCTGATATACATGTATATATTCCACACGCACGCACGCACAGACGCACACACACACACACACATGCACGCCCAGCCCACACACACGCACACATATTCTCTCTCTATCTGTGTTCCTATTTACTCGTGTAGCTTGGTTTTTTAGTTGCTGTATTTTTAATTTGTTATGATGCATGTGTATGCTTTGATTTTTTAAGTTACGCAGTTTCTATTTTTCGTTATCCGGAAATATAACAAACATATCGCTCGTGACGTATTTTCAATTTTCAGCTTGTTTAATCATGCGCTACCTACTATGACTAGTGTATACATCAAGAAAAAACAGTTTGCAACTATTTAAAGTGATTACGTCACGAATTTCTAGCACCATCAAGTAGTACATTTGTGTGTTATTTGTACAAAATATGTATGAAAATACAATTAGTGTTTCTCTTTTCTTTTCATGCTTATATACCTTCTTTATATGCCCTAATTTGCCGGTGAAAAACAGAGAGACGCCAGTATCTGAACAGTACTGGGGGAATTGTGTTAGACAACAGAAATTACCAAATCGTCTAGATTTTTGCAAATTTAACCAACGTAAAAACATTTTTATCAGGTGAGAGTTTGAGGATATATTTAGTAACGTTAGTTCTTACTTTTAATGTAAAAAAATGGCTTTTTTTTTTACAAATTTTACCATGGAAAATAAGTGACGTAGTCAATTTAATAGAATAGCGTTGGCAGCGTGGCCCGATATTGCACGCAAACTATGGGTTCGCGCGTGTGCGTGTGAGTGCGCGCGTCCATGCGTGCGCGCATGCGTGTATTTGTGTGTTGAACTGGGAAAATCACACGAACATGAACAAAATGTCGGACTTCCAAAAAAAACTTCCCGAAACAATAACACGCTGGGTTAATTGTCCCAACGCGGGAAATGTTTATTGTAATACAAGATTATTAAAATTGCTGAAATACTCAGGTCGGCAATAATTCCTATCTGCGTGCAATATTGCCATCCCCATATTTCCCTCGTCGGCAGCAAATCGCATTACAGAATAATATTACACATTATGAATGATAAACCGAGAACGGTTTAAACGTAATATGCTGTCATGAAATAACAAGTAAAAACGGCGAAAAATGACGGAATGCCGATCGTAACGCCAGACTTCAGTTGCGCGACAAATTAAACAGGAAATTTTCTTACTGTAGTTATGAGAAAATGCATGCATAAAGCTGACGAGATACGAGGCGGTGCATATAATATATACATACGCGAAAACTGACGAAAATTATACTTCTATAAAAGTATAAATCGATAGATTCCAGACGGCTTCTCTACCGCTCGTTGGTTTACTCCGTTACTCGTTGCAGTCCGGGATATGAGTGGCTCGAGAAACTTTTACCCAGCCGCTGTTCGCTACGATGAAGGCAGCTTACTGGTCGTTATAACGACGCACGTAAGAGCGTTGTTGTTACTTGAGACAGGTGGCCCAAATGACCACTTGGGTATAAGAGATGGCCCTGTGAAAATTGCATCCAGATCGCTTGGGCGGTTTGGCCGCCTATAGGGAAGATACATAGATACATACATACGAACTCAAATATATATTAGATTACAATACTTTTGCTTTTAAATTAATAAATAAGAAACTCCCTCGGTCTGTATATATACCCCTTGCTATATAGCCCTTGGCTGAAAAGTGGTTTTGCGCAACTTATCAGATCGTGCGCTTTGAGTGGCGCCACCGTCGTTGTAATCAAACTGTAGTCTTTAGTTTTAAAACATTTAAAAAAAAATATATCTAATGGTGATTGAACCATGAAACTTTTTATGTAGCATAATTTTAACCTAAATTAACTGAAAATAACCCTAGAACCTAGAGTAAACGATCCCTTTAATAGTTTTAGTAGTAATATAAATACTACGATGAAAACTCTCAAATGTCACATCGTTGCGCACAAGTTTGCGTTGTCCCGAATGACAGCCAGTAGCTGATAGTTATGCATACAGTCATAGCAAAACTAGTTACTATCAGATCAAGTCAGGTGCAATGTCGACGACGTAAGTTAGTCTTTACCTCACTGTCCACAACTGGATGTCCATTCCAACTCATGACGTCCAGTACGTAGTACTTTCTCTCTGCTTCGCTCAGTATGCAGTCGAGCAAGGTATATTCTACATACAAAACATGAGCAGTCTGTCACATTTCGGATGTTTTTAGCGAATATTTTGTAATCTTTGTATAATCTGCTAAGCAGAGGAGTAGAGAAGGTGGGGAAATGGGAAAAGGAAAAGGGTGGGAAGGTGAAAAAGAAGAAATCTCTTAAATTGACTACGTCACGAATTTTCTATGGTGTATATTTGTAAAAATGTTGTTGCATTTTTTTACATGAAAAGTAAGTACTAACGGCACCAAATGTATCATCAAATTCTTACCTGATAAGATTGTTTTTCAACTAGTTAAAAATCAAAAAAATCTGGGCGATTTGATATATTGATCATGACATTAAATGCTTGCTATGGGCTATGTATGAGTCACGAGTGTTTGTTCACATCAAACGGAATAGCAAAATAGGAAGTATAGTGCAGCAATTTAACCATAAAAAGTGAACAGAATCACCTGCATTTTGTTAAAAAGTGGAGATAATATTTTTACTTTTACTATTTTCGGTGACGTAATCATTTTAAGTGTAACCTGCAATATGGAAATCTTTCAGTTAGAACAGTACCTGCACTCCTCTTGGCATGCCCTCTGTATCCACCTGGTAAGTGTGATGAAAACTTTGAGAGCAGATGGCCGGCTTTCGTGTAACTGCTCGTGACGCCCTGCGGCCAAACCAACCAAACCAACATAGTGAGTAAACTTGTAAGTAGATCTATATGTGTACATGTGATCAGGAGTGTCATAATATAGATATGATATATATCTATGTGTTATGACAATCCTGATGTGATGACACTAATACTACTAGGAGAAAGCAATTTACGGAACTCTCATGGTCTATGTGCAAATTGCAGCAAGATCAAAAAAAATTTTATGCATTCTGCTCAGCAGGGCAACCTAGTTTAACTAATTAGGTTGTTGGCACAACCTGACTGACTGATTAAAACGTGCCAAATAGAAATATTAAACACGAATATAATCTAATACATCTTCTTTACCAGGCCACTACATGACTGCCTGTGACTATATACATATAACTATAAATGCATATTACAAATACATATAATTTGTAAGTATTCTTCCTTTTTAGTAATTTCCCAAGATATTTTCTATTACTGACCAACAAATTTAACCATGGGAGGGGTTAGGAACATTCTTTTAGAGATGGCCTAAACAGAACTAGGTGTGGCAACGTTCAACTGTTGGCAATCCACAAATAGATCTCGAGTATACAATAATCAACATGCAGCCCGCTTATTAAAATGAAACATCTTATGATATTGTTGCCACAGAGATATGGCCCACCGCCTTCGAGCCCAGAAATGAGTGCGCGAGAAAGGCCGACATCTCTCGCTCCTGAAGTTGATACGACTAACGCTTCTCTCGCAATGGTGTCACCTTTGCCGCTACAACAAGGTTTCGACGCCCAACGGGACACGGAACGAGAATCCACTCCTCTGAGAGGTCCGCTGGCACATCCACCAGCCATTCTGACAACATCAACTGCAAATAGCAAGTTACGACATGGTAGAGAGAGTAGACTAGAGGGCACCACCAGCGGTGTCAAAGTAAACGCTTACAGACGACTGCATCACACGTCACGATCGTCTTCAACGCAGACGCGTTTCTCTCAAATGTACTTTACAACGGGGATAAACGTTAGAAAAACTCGGGTCGACGACAAAACTGGCCTCGCTCGCTATTGCGCGAGAGATGCGCACTGTAGGGTCAGATGTCATGTAGAGTAGTGTAGATGGCAGTGTTCGTAGTAATAAGTAAACAAACATTCACAGAAGAAGCGACAAGAAGACATCAAGAAGATCTTTATTATTCGACAACATAAGTTACGCGTCTCAACGTGCCTGGCGCCCGTAAACACTACAGTACCTTGTTTCGGTAATATGGCGCTCGCTTCTTGGACTTTACATCGACCTCCATCTCCTCCCCATCATTCGCAGCATCTTCCTCGTCGTCAATCTGCTCTTGCTGTGCGAAGCTGTCACTTCCCGCGAGTCTCCGTAGATGATTCACAACGCTGCTCCTATTCCTGGCAATGATGAACAGTCGCCATTTATAAGATCACCGGCGAGTTAAGATCGTGAAGTCGAAAATGTGTTGACTAAAACTGTTTGGATTCGGCTAATATTTCTAGTTGTAGCATATCTTGAAAATGATGTCATATACTAATTTTGTTCACGCTGGGTTGAGTTGTTTGACCAGAAGGAAGAAAGATCCAGGGGTACAGCAGGTAAATTAGGGTAGTGCAAACTTTAAGATCTAACTGCAATATCTTATAAAAACATCAAGACAATATATACCCGAGTCCCGAGTGAATATAGTCATATATAGTGATTCATAGAGGAGTGGCACAGTTAGACGAAATCTCTAAAATATCTTGTTGTATTCTGATCTGAGCAGTATGTTGTGACATCCCGAGGATATAGCCACGAGATAATTTACAACAACACGTTATTGTTTTTGACACACAGACAGTTAGTGATGCCCTTACCCAAATCACAGATATCCACATAAAGTCACACATGGGAAAATCACAGACAGAAGCAATGTATTAACACATAGAACTGCACCTGAGATAGGCTTGCGACACGTTGAACGACGAACAGACAATATCTAGTCCAGGGACGTAGCGTCTCTAAGGGGGCACCTGCCCCACTAGTTAGATTTTGGAGCAAAATTAAAAAATAGGCTTAGCTAATAATCGTAAATAACCCTATAACGTGATTTTTTTGGTCACTTATCCATGAAAGCCTCATCTCAGACCCACCCCTACCACATTATATGGACGTCGATCAAGAGCTGCACCCGTCGCTCATCATTACACAATTGAGTCATAAAATTTTGACCCCCCCCCCATAAGAATTTGCTCAGCCTACGGCCCTGTAGTTACTTCTTCTGTAGCTCGAGTTGTCTGCTTCGTCTCTCATCCTGCCCAGATGCGCCAAGCTTCGCCTTGTACTGTGCGAAGCGTGGATGCTCCGCGGCCGTGCTGTTTTCTTGTTGCGATATGCTGAATGACGCGGCGAGACCCTCCGTCAGCTCCTCCATTGTGACGTCAAATCGTCACTGCCAGCACGGTGCGATGGGCTGCAGTTCAAAACGATGGCTATCGGTATAGCATTAGGCTAAAGGTTGACCATCTCTTAGTAATTCTATGCAAACTACAATGCAAAAAGGTAATTACTAACTGCCACTAAACAGTGTTATATTAAGAGGGGTCACCAACTATATAGTATAAAGGCCTAGCATTGTTTCCCCTGCACAGAAAGCTTTGTGAGGTGGTAAATGTTTTTTGTAATGTTTGCGCATTTCGAGGTCCTAGCAAAGTAAGCAGTGCATGTGCTGGCTAAGCTAGGGGAGGTCCGGGTTTCGGATCCGGTTCCGAAATTTTTGAAAAAATGGTGCAATTTGGTGCATTCTAAGCTATTCTGAACACATTGTATGAGACTCTTGAATCTCTTTTTTCAAGTTGTCAAAAGTTTCGTCAGCGAGGCGGTGTTTTCGACAAATTTCTGTGTGGCAGCTGAGAATTTGAGCGAGGCGGCGCGCCTCGCTCGTGTCAATGCAGGGGAAACACTGTATAGTATACGAATACCTAACGTGGGATTGAGGAGAGCACTTCACAGATTGCGACTGGGTCTGTATTATGATTGCGGGTAGGGTAGCATTCGATAAGAAGCGCTGGATAATACTTTATTTTGATGCCAGATTGCTGTAAATGCAGAGGACAATGGTGTGGAGGACACACAACATGTGTTGAACTGATACATAAAATACAGGCTATTCATAGATGTGTGGCTTCAAGGATGTATTAGGTGACCCCAATGTATTTTCGCAATGTGCGACATGTGCAAATGTGGACAGCTGTTCTATCCTTGGGCCGATGTGTGCGCGTGCGTGCCTGCCTGCATGTCCTTCCAACTCTATGTTACGGTAGGAAGACTCAACGAGGGCCGCTGCCCTTACTTTGTACGGGTAATTAGTTTCATGCAACCGTATTTGCAGTTGCTGTTTTTAATCCGATGGTATCTACTTAACCCGACGAGGCTGTGCGACTGATTGTCTATATATGGTCTTCTAACCCTAGCAAGACCGTTTCTTGGAGCTAGTATCTACTATGATTATCTGATGGCTTGAGGTTTTATATGCAGGACACTCAATGCTCAGTAGCCTGCCTAGCCAGACTCACATATTTATATATATATATATTAGTCATGATAAGGTTCAAGGATAGAGACTAGAGAGCATGGCCAGATTGAGACCTATGTCATTTTCGTCAATGTGGGGGTATACTACTACTAGTATAGATACAATAATGTAACCCAACAAGAGTAGGGTTACAACGCGAGCCTATTCTTTTCGTTGGAGGAGCCCCTGAGTGATTCACTCAGGGTGGTGTTATGGTGCATTTTTCAAGACTAGAACTTCCAAACTGGGTTTACTTTAAACACAAACCTTTCTCCGCTATCCTGGGACTTACTATGTATCACAGTACTCTGTATTAAACTAATATAACCTGTTACAAAATTTCGAACAGACGAGCGGCGATATTTCGAGCGCCATTTCTGTTGACCTGTGACGTACGCATTCCCAATGCATATAGCGTTCGGCTAACTTCGGCTCCAAGATTGAATGCATCCTGAGATGCCTGCTGTCAGTCATGACGTCACTAGAGCAAGCATGTCAGGCAATACAGAAGCCCAAGGTAGCCGAATGCTATGCGCATTGGGAATGCGTACGTCACAGGTCAACAGAAATGGCGCTCTAAATATCGCCGCTCGTCATTTCAAAATTTTGTAACAAGTTATATTAGTTTAAAACAGAGTGTTGTGATACATAGTAAGTCCCAGGATAGCGAAGAAAGGTTCGTGTTTAGAATAAACCCAGTTTGGAAGTTCTAGTCTTGAAAAACGCGCACCATAAAACCGCCCTGAGTGAATCACTCAGGGGCTCCTCCAAAGAAAAGAATATGCTCGCGTTGTAACCCTACTCTTGTTGGGTTACATTATTGTATCTACTACTAGTAGTGCACTGCCAGTAGGTTCTCGTTGGGTGAGGTTCTAATGGATTGCCAATCAGTTTTATATGTATACATCTATCACCACAAACCTGTAGAGTTTAACAGCTAGGTGGGCATTTTCGGCTTGAGTTTGAGCACAGGCACTTGGAGCGTTTCAATAAAATATAATGCTAAATAAATACCTGTAAATGCCATCCAAATGCTCATCTGCAACACACGCTGGCTGCCGCACGCTAGCTGGTGCACACCGACACATAAATATATAGTTATGTGTCAGTGTGCAGCAGCTAGCGTGCGGCAGCCAGCGTGTTGCAGATGAGCATTTGGACGACATTTACAGAAAATTGTCAACAATAATAGGTGTAAGAGAGTAGAGAAACATTAAGACTTTGGTAGTAAATAGATTTCGTGTTTATTTAGCATTATATTTTATTGAAACGCTCCAAGGGCCTGTGCCTATGTTATGTTATCAGGAGTTATTGATAGACTCCTGATCACAGGCACTTGGAACGTCTCAATCAAAAAAAAAGGTAAATAAACACAAAATGTATTTACTACCAAAGTCTTAATGTTTCTCTACTCTATTTCGCCTATTATTGCCGATAATCACCTGTAAATGCCGGTCAAATGCTCATCTGCAACACACGAGTACACCGCACGCATGCCCTGTGCACAAACAACATGAATAAGTTACTCTCTTATAGTAGTATACTCTTATTCATGTTGTTTGTGCACAGGCCCAGGGCATGTGTGCGGTTAGATACAATAATGTAACCCAACACAAGAGTAGGGGGTACACAAGAGCAACCCTACTCTTGTGTTGGGTTTCATTATTGTATCTAGCGTGCGGTGTACTTTTCTTCCTATGACAAATAGTGTCATAGGAGAGCGTATATGCGTATGTCGTATTTGTCATAGATGCTAGCAGAACATGTTGGTCATCTGACGACGAGCGCCGATGTGCCTCTGCTCCGATAGCGTTACAGTAACACTGCACGGTCACGCAGACAGACAAAACCAGCAACAGCAGCAAAATAGGCTGCGTGTCCAACGGCGTGTGTGTGTGGGGGGGGGGAGCCGGTGTGTGCACGTGTGTCTATGTGTGTGTGTGCGTGTGTAGGTACCGCTGAACGAATGTATAGTTTGGTCGCTGCATGACTCGTTGCACTGACGTTGTCTATTAGAAGCTGGCGTGCGTCTTTTACGCGTTCGCAAACACGATGTCGTGTATAAATCACATTACGTTCGCAATATAACACTGACACATGTGACACCGCACGCACCCACGCGCACCCACACACACGCGCACACACACACCCACGCACGGGCACTTGCACACACAGATACATGCGCGCGCACGCACACACACAGTGAGAGGCATACGCACGCCCACATGCTTGCTAGATACTATTAGGAGTTAATGAACACAATTGTTAGTCTTCATTAACTCCTGATACTATAGATATCTTTGTACACGGCTTTCCCATATACGCGTGGATTATTTAACGTAGAATATAGTATTAGATAGCGGGTATATGTGTAGTTAGCTTTGGTGGCGTGTATCCTGTATGCGTCTAGCTTCCCCCGAAGCCATCCCTATTATAATAAAGCGCTATAGTAGTTATAACGAAAGTGGGGCCGAAAATCAAGTTTCACAGCGCGAGCCGCTCTTCTTGTCGTAAATATGTATCTGTGCGACTTATTAAAGATTTATTTGACACCTAATAATTCTAAGAGCGACCGCCGCTTTCTTAAATGCGCAGATTTTAGCGCGCACATATATGAACGGTTAGAAACTGTTAGAACACCCACCGCATTCCAAACGTAACTGCGACGGAGTAATGTATTACAGCCGCTAAGCTACTATTCTAAAAATGCGTCACTTTGCACATCTCGCGGTTTTTATCTCCCGGGTGTTCGCCGGTGAAATATGTCGGGGAAAATGTATAAAACCTGTAACGACTATTAGATTGCCGTAAATACCCTTACAGTCCCATATGATACGCAGCACTAAGGACACTAATACGAATCATCGCGGTTTCGAAATTGACAATTCTCCGTGATTTTGAGTGTAGCACATTTTCTACGCGCACGCGAGTATTTTTTCGTGTCGAATTAATCGACGAAGATTTCACGCGGCAATATATATTACGAGGACGTGCACAATGAGTTACTGCACCATATATATGTATATATATTTTTAAATATAATATATATAAGAAGAACGAGAGAGAGTCATTGTGCAGATACGATCGTAAACACGGGAGTTATTACGCTCTCGATTATCAAACAGTATCGCAATTACACATATTCTTTCGCGTCATCTCTCTCCTCTCTCTCTCTCTCTCTCTCTCTCTCTCTCGTCTCTCTCTCTCGCTCTCATCTCTCTCTCTCTCTATAGTATATAATATATACTATATATATATATATTTCTGTAAACAAAACTTTTTATTACAAATTTTTTTTTGTTTGTTGTTTTTTATAAACATTATTATAATGGCAAACAACAAAACGCAATGCTAAATCCCGGTGTGGGATAAGCTCAGTCGAGCTGTGCCGGTAGAGGCGTCCAGCCCTTCCTCATAATCTAATATATATTATATATATATATTAATATATATTATAGATTAAAGTTATACGGAACGGTAGAAAATTTGACTCTGTTTAATTGCAATAAACAGAGTCAAATTTCTACCGTGTCCGTATAACTTTATCTATATTTGCTTCTACTCATCGGTAGTATGAGACACCTCGACACACGAGTTCATAAACAACCATTGAATCTAATATATAGTATATAAATATTGGGGCGTCTACACGATTCGCCTGTATGTTGTATATTGCAAACATGGATATATGCTCTCTTAAGCGTGATGGGCCATTTTGACCCTCGTAGTTCGAAGCCGCGTTCATTTTCTATTCCGTAAAAATGGCCCGAATTAAAACAGCGCCATTACGATCATGCATAAAGTCCGGATACGGCGTAAATGTTGTTATATTGCACTGTGCACTATAATACCAGTGGCAGTGGACACCGACATTACGGAGAATAGATATTAATAAGCTA